GGGGCCCAAAACCCAGAAATTTCAGGCAGCCACTGCCTTGTTGTTGAGCACTGCACCAACACGACACCAGAGGGAGCCCAGGAAAGTTGGAAAGGCCACCCTGAACCACACTTCAGTCTGAAAGTTAGGAAAGAGGTAGGACAGGAAGTGGGTTAGACAATAGGGAAGGAAGGAGTTGGCTCTGGCTTGGGTGAGGCTCTTAATTCCGCAACCCTGCCCTCCCCCTCCCTCCGGTCTGACTGCTGCCAGGCCCTGGCTCACCTGGTCACTGGTTGTGAGGCAAGACAAGTAAGGCAGAATCTCCAGAACAGGAATATGGTGAAACCTGCGGTAATTGCGGCGGATGTACTCGAAAGTCTTTTCCTCGGCAAACGTCATCACTCTCCAGCTCTGCAGGACGAGGGCTCTAACTCGATGGGACTGAGAGCGAGGGAAAAGACTGGAAGAAAACAGACCACATATGACAGCAGGAGTGCAAGCGGGGTTGGAAAAAGGCAATTCTTTCTTTCTCAACTCTGGAATTCTGGCCTTTTCTCTTTAATCACCCTATTTTATTGTTGCCTGAATCTCAGAGGCCCTCAAGGAATTTGCTTAAAAACAAATTGATGACCACAAACATCAGAGCCAGAAGATCGAGGGTCCATCTCTGCCCTGCAAGTTGGTCAGTGTTGGGAAGGGCCTGGTTTTTTTTATTGATTTCTGCCATTGTCCCCAAGTCTGTGTGTGCCCCTACCTGCTGACAGCAGGAGGGCTCCAACTAGACTAGACGTGCTGCTTCTTTGAAGTACACTGAGAAAAAATGAAGCAGCAGCCCAACGTGATAATAATAGGACCCATCCTACTTGAAAGGTAAAGAAAATTAAGTATTAAGAAAAGAAGGGGGCTTGCTAGTTAGTGGAAGAGCAAAGGGTGAGGTTCTTTCCAGAACATTACTGCAGGCCTACCATTTAAAGCTTGCTACATACATGTTCTTCAGGTAGGAGGCTGAGTTCCACTTCCCTGAACTCACTGTTGACCTGGGGCAAGTTACCAGTCTTTTCCAGGCCTATCCTCCCCCCTAAAAATGGCTCAGAGAGCTTGTTCTGATAATACAGTAGTTCTGCCTTGTAAGCCTGAGGTCTCAAATACAAGGGTCTCAAATACAAGCAATTACTGCCAGTCCCTTATGTAGCACTTAACACAATTTGCAATTATAGATGCATTTGTCTGATCATTTCTTATTTGCCTCCCCCTGGAGAGAAATGCAGGGAATGCATTTCTCTACCATCATCCAATTTATATTTTATTTTGTGGGACAGATAACAAATCAGTAAGCGCACATATAAATAAGAATCCCGGGTGGTAATAAAGGTTACAAAGAAAATAAAGCAGGGTACTGAGACAGAGCCGATGCAGAAGGGTACGCTGCTTGAACTGGGATGGTCCAAGAGGCCTTTCTGAATTGGCCACACTTGAGCTGAGCTCCTTCCTGGCTGTGAGATTGGCATTTCTGACCGAAGGCACAGCAAGTGAGAAGTCCTAACGTGGGAACGAGCTTGGCATGTTTGAAGAAGAGAAAGCAGGTCCAGGTAGTCCAGGTTTAGAAAGCTAGGGGAGGGGCAGAGATCAAGGTCAAGGAGGGCCGCTTATATATAGCATTATAGGAAAAATGTTGGGCTTTATGTGGAGTGAAACAGGAAGCCACTGGAGGGTTCTGAGCAGGGACGGGAGAGCACTTTATTTCTGTTAAAGACCTCTCTGGCGGTTGTGAGGACCTTGGACTGTGGAGGGGCCAGGATGGAAGCGAGGAGACAAGTCACAGCAGGGGACAAACAGATGATGGGTATGGCTAGGATGGTAACCATGGAGGTGGCAAGAGATGGCTGGATTCCTGGTGTTTTGTGGACTTGGGAGGTGAGAGAGAGAAGAATCAGGATGACTTCCTGGGCGCTGGGTGGATGGATGTGCATTAAGCCAGCCAGGGCTATCAGGGATAGGAGCAGTGTCAGGGTTTCCCGAGCTCCGTTTTGAACACATGAAGCTTGAGATCCTATTGGATGTCCAGATGGGTTTTCGGGGAGGGAAGGGGCCGAGGAGAAGGCCAGGCTTGACTGAGACCACTGGGAGACAGTGCTGCACAGCAGAGAGTGTTCAAAAGCTGCTGAGGCCACCAGCCTCTCACACAGGAAACAGGACAGCATCCAGTCTATGGGCCTCACCACCTCACATTGCATGACTTGCTTTGCCAACCAGGTGGTAGATTCCTGGTGGGGCAAGTGCTAATGAAAGAGGTCAAGAGGATCACGGAGGTGGGGCAGGGGTCCTCGGAGACTTCAAGAGATGAGCAACGAACAACTCCGTGGTAGTTAATAGACCCTTTTCTCCTTCCCTCCATGGCATCCAGAGAGGTACCAGGCGTCAGGTGATACATTTTTCTGCATTGTAGCCTCAGCCCTTAAGACTCAGAGTTTGGGGGGGCATGGGTTATATGTATGGTTCCACTAAAAAGAAAGGAAGTCCAAATATACTGACAGCTGTGAGAGGGGCAGGGGTTGTGGGCTGGGTGAAAAGGTGAAGGGATTAAGCAAAAAAGAAAAAAAAAAACCACCTCATAGACACAGATAACAGTATGGTGATTACCAGAGGGAAGGGGAGAGAGGGGCGGGGGAGGGGGGGAAGTAGTGGCGAGGGGAGATAGAGGAAAGTATAGGGGGAATAAATGGTGATGGAAGGAGACTTGACTTGGGTGGTGAACACACAGTACAATATACAGATGATGTATCATAGTATTATGCACCTGAAACCTATATAGTTTTATTCATCAATATCACCCCAATGAATTCAATAAAGAAGAAAAAATAAAGGGTTATGTAACAAAGGCAGAATAATTCTTAAACATTAAAAAGACTAATATTGGCCCTGACTGGTGTGGCTCAATGACTAGAGCCTCGGCCTGCAGACTGAAGGGTCCTGGGTTGGATTCCGGTCAAGGGCACATGCCCAAGTTGTGGGCTGGATCTCCAGTGGGGGGCGTGCAGGAGGCAGCCAATCAATGATTCTCATCATTCACGTTTCTCTCTCTCCCTCTCCCTTCCTCTCTGAAATCAATACAAATATATATATATATATATTTTAAAGACTAATACTGAAGCAAGAACAGAGACCAAAGACATTGCGGAGAGGAGGGGGGACAAAACACCTCACAGACACAGACAACAGTATGGTGATTAACAGAGGTTTCCCGCGGAGGCAGGAGCTGAATAGTACAGATAAGAAGAGAACTGTACAAGAATCAGACATTCATAATAAAAGTGTCACTAAATAGTGATTAAATTGTTTGGAAGGCATTAATCATAAAACTAGCTCTCTATGAGAAATAATATTAGATCCTAATTTTACACAATGGATAACAGAAAACTCCAAATAAAGTCCTAAATATAAAGGGTAAATCATAAAGAAAAGAGTAAGTGTAGAGAAACATTTTTTAAAGAACTTGTAACAAAATATTTGAGATCTTAAGCATGGCTCTGTGTTCATTCCCAAATATTCCAAATAAAAAATTAAGCAAATAATAAAAAAAAAGAAACAAAGTCCTTATGTGTTCACATTTATTGAGGACCCACTACAGGCAGGCATATCCTAAATGTCTTTCATTTAATCCTTGCCACAATGCCATGTAAGAAGTGATGTCAAATTGCACATTTGACCAGCGGCCCTGGCAGGTTTGAACCTAGGACTTACTGCCTCACTGCGTTCACCGTACACCCTGCAGGGAAAGAGGCCCTGCAGCAAGTAAGGCTCACGGTCCCCATCTTCAATTTCAGGGAGGGGCCAAGGTCACCGCCCTGTGTGTGTGTGGGGGGGGGGGGGGGGGTGTCGCTAGGTGCGGTGCGCCGGGGAGGATGTAACATTTAGTCCGCAGCTCGGTTCTCAGGTCGCTGACTCTCCTTCCAGATGTCTTTGAGGCTCCACTGCATCTACCCGGAGAACGCTGTTTTGGGGTGTTTTGTCTTGGGGGGCGGGGTTGCTTTTTTTCTCAATGTTTTCCTGGTACATCTTGATGGTTTCCGGTGTCCGACCCCACCGCCCTGAGGCTGAGCGCGCTGCAGAAACGTCCCCTCGCCGGGAGGGGTGAGCTGCCCCACCTCGGCTCCGATGCCCGGATTCCTGGGCCAGACCCAAGCTCGCGGAGGGCGGGAGGCTCGCTCTTCCAGGAGGTGTCACCCCGAAAACTGTCAAGTCTCGGAGGAGGGCGGTAACTCGCGTCGGTAAATCCGGAGTAGGCCCCGCCCGGGGGTCACCCTGAGCCTGCG